AAGTTCTCCATATTCGAGCTTTCTTAAAGGAAGGAAAAACGTCTTAGAGGGGGTTGGTTTAAATTTGAGAGAAGGTGAGTGTGTGTTTGGGGTGACTAAAAGAATATTAGCCATTAGATTAATTAGTTAATAGGTGGAAAAAATGAAAAGTTGTACAGAGCAAAATGTATGAGGGATCTTTGTTATATTTGGACGTTTTCCAATAAATTTGGATATATATGATTCCACAAGCTGTTTTCTCTCATTTTTTATTTTAAACTTTTGTAGGCATCGCCTAGAACTGAAACCAATAGTGATGAAATCTAAATCTAAAGAGCTTTGACCAGAAATATTAAACCCGACAGGCAACAACCTCCAATAGGTAACCATGGCTGGAAATACTACTGCTCCGACGAGATCGACTCCAGATCTGTGGCCTTCTTCTCACTCTCTTTATCGACCTTGCTTCTCAATTTCAAAGAGCTTGTGTGGTGGATATGATAAAAGCGTGGTGTCAACTATTGGACTTGTGCTTTATTAGCTGGATAACAACAACAACAACCCAGTATAATCTCATTAGTGGGGTCTGGGGAGGGTAATGTGTACGCAGACTTTACCCCTATCTTAGGGTAGAGAGGCTGTTTCCAAATGACCCTCAGCATCCTTCCCTCCAAGAACTCCCCACCTTACTCTTGGGGTGACTCGAACTCACAACCTCTTGGTTGGAAGTGAGGGTGCTTACCATCAGAGCAATCCACCTTGTCAAAAATCTTATTTGGGTGAAGTTTGGTTTGAAGATGAAAATGTATTTGAACACTAGTTTTAAAAACATATTTTTCAAATTTATTTTGGAAAAACATGAAACATGACTTATACCCACAAATTCTAAAAACTATCACAAATAGCCAACAGTACCATTATCAATAACATTCATTATATTATCACAAATCATAGTCCTGAACATAAATAAATTTGATACAAAATTATCATTTTTATAATAAACTACATGATACATTATCAGGTGACCGAGAAGACGAAGCAACATTGTTACAAAATAATAAATGGTGGGCTCTTTTATAAAATACAAAAGTTTAGGGCAATTTAAAAAAAATAAATAATAGTGATATTTTGGCCCAAAATCAGCTATATTGAGCTGGTTTTGGGATTTGAGATTTGGGATTTTACCAAAATGTAGGCAAAATCTATGGCCAAATATGTGTTTGCCAAATAAAATCCAAATTTATTTTGGCAAAATCTATGGTCAAACGGGTCCTTAGTTTTGGGGAAATAAATATCATTGTGGATTTTAGGAGTAGCGAGAGTCATTATTTTCTGTCCTTCTCCTAAAAAATAATAAACTAAGTGAATTGTATTTATCATTCGTAGCTTTACTTTTCGAAAATTATCATTTGTTGTTATATTTGAATTTGATAACAAATCTACTTGTAGTACTGGAAAACAAAGATCAATTATTTTGAATTGAACATTTAGTTAAATCACCCACTTAGTAATTGGAGGTCTTGTGTTCGACTCTCAACAAGAGCATTCTATTTTTCTGTATTTTGCATCGGTTGTATTCCTTGTGCAACGAATACAGTCGATTCGTTGTACGTCTGAATACAAGTGATACAAGTTGATAACAATTGAACAATATCTAGGAATTGTAATTAGACAAACTATAATTATGTATAATAATTAGGCTCTAAACTGTATTGCTTTATAAAAATTCCTCTATCAGAAATGATCGGTCCAATTGAATCCACTCCTAACATTTTTAGCATGCATCTATACTAGTTGCAACTATACCGTGCAATGGAACTCTCCAAAAATCTAACTGTCACGACCTGAAATCCCAACCGCGGGGTCGTGATGGCGCCTAACACCGCTTGCTAGTCAACCTAGCGCAATAGGGTGTTATTGAAAGAAATGCAATAGATATCTAATAACTGAACCATTACGTAACATAAAACACCCTGAGATCTGGTGTCACATGTACATGAACGTCTAGATTCAGCTGGACACAAGGTGTGAAAGAAATAAAACACTGTCCGAAATAAAAGAAAATAGTACAAAGAAATAGGGAAGTGACTCTAAGGCCTGCGAACGAGATGCAACTCTACCTCGAATCACCGTCTGGTATCCACTAAGTACCTCTCGGGACTCCGTTGGTACCAACGTCAAAATCTGCACAAGAAGTACAGAAGTGTAGTATGAGTACAACCGACCCAATGTACTTAGTAAGTGTCGAGCCTAACCCCGATAAGGTAGTGACAAGGCTAAGACAAGACACATACTAAAAATCTGTGCAGACACACACACACACACACACACACACACACACACACACACACACACACATATATATATATATATATATATATATATAAAGCAACAGAAGTAACCATTAAAGCATTAGAAGTAATAACGAGGTGAGGACATATAAGATGGGCAACAATCATAACAATAAGCAAAGAATCACAAAGTAAGGCTCTTTCCGAAATAAGCAATGAAACTGTCAAGTTAAATTCACAATCCAGGTACCAAGTAAAACAATAAAGTCAACAAATTGCACGGCACCACCCTTCGTACTTTTACTTTCATCCTCACCATATAATACAAAATAATTCAATTGCACGACATCACCCTTCATATTTTTAATTTCATCCTCACCATATAATATAAATAAAGGATGTGCACGACATCACCCTTCGTTCTTTTACTCTCATCCTCACATGAGAATGATAATAGCAAGCGGCATCACCATTCGTGCTTTTACCTCACATTCACTCAAGCAAGAATATCAATATGCAAAAATACATGGCAATACCCTTCGTGCTTTTCACTCTTCCTCACCAAGCAATTACAATAATACAATACCAAGCAAGATGGGAAGCATCAAATTCCAATAGTGACAGTTGAATACGACTCCAACAACCAACCAACAACTTCCACGCTCATCACCGAAAGGCACAACAATCTCAATATTAGAAATAACATGAAAACGAGAAATCAAGTAATTAATAATCAATCTAAGCATGGGAGACATATTTCACGAAATAACATGGTGCAAGTAAGGCAAATTCTACTCGCATGCTTAACGCCTTAACCCATGGCCCGCATATATACACCCGTCACCTTGCATATACGCTACCCCCAACACATAATTCACATATCAAATAGACTCAATTCTACCTTATTTTCCTCAAATCAAGGTTAACCAAGATATTTACCTCTTTCTGCAATTAAATCAACAATCAAGCACGTCCTTGCCTTTCGAACAAGCCTCAAAACCAACTAAATCTAGCCAATTACCAATCAAACAATTTGAAACAAGCTTTAGAAATCACTCACGAATGAAAAAGGTTCAATTTTGATCATTTTTGAAAAGTCAACAAAAGTCAACCCCGGGCCCGCTCGATCGAGATATGAGATTCGGACCACCCGATTATCCATTCACCCCGAGCCCGGATATATGATTTATTTAAAAATCCAACCTCAATTTGAGGTCTAAATCTCAATTTTATAAAGAAAACCTAAATTCTACCCAAAACCCCTAATTTCTACCATAAAATTCATAGATTTGATGTTAAAAATTCTTGAAAAGTAATTAAAATTGATTGAAAACTAGTTAAAGATGCTTATCAGTGAATTTGGGGAGAAAACGTTCTTCAAAAATTGCCTCTAGAGAGCTTAGGGTTGAAAAATGGTGTAAAATGAGCTAAGTCCCGATTTTTCAAACTTTTACCCAGCTACATATATCGTAATTGCGATGTCCGCAAATGTCACTGATCACAAAGGTGACAAGTGCAACAGACCCACTATTGTCGCAAATGCGACATACCCTTCGCAAATGTGAAGTTCCCTCCATCGCAAATGCGCACGAATGTTTTGCAAAGGCGAATTATTCTTCGCAAATGCGACTCTAGCTCAGTTCGCAAAGGCGAACTATTCTTTGCAAAAGTACCAACCCCTAGCCCATTTTCGCAAAGGCGATCATTTGACCGCAAAAGCGAGGCTCACAAATGCGAGATCTGCCGGCTTGTACTAGCAACTGGTGAGCACCAACAGTTCCAAACCCATCCGTAACACATTCAAAACTCACCCGAGCCCCTCGGGCTCCAATCCGAACATGCACACAAGTGTAATAACATCCTACAAACTTGCTCACTACAATAAATCATCAAAATAACATCAAACAACAAGAATCGATCATCAAATAACAAGAATTTTAACTTAAACTCAATTTTTACAATCCTTCACATAATGCACCGAAATGTGCTTGGGTCACTCCGGACCCAACCAAACGTGCGTACAAGTCTAAAAATATCATACGGACCTACCGAAATCGTCAAAATACCGATCCGAGGTTGTTTACCAAAAATATTGATCGTGATTAACTCTAGCTTCATTTTAAATCAAAATTTTCGTTTTCTTCAAAATCTCACATAAAAGCTTTTCGAAAAGCGACACGAACTACGCACACAAGTCAATTAATATCAAATGAAGCTATGAGAAGTCTCGAAACACAGAAATTAAGGCTAGTACTCAAAATGACCTATCGTGTCGTCACACTAACATGCTTTAGTAGGCGTTTGGACATAAAAATTGTAATTTTTAACAAAACAATAGTATTTGGAGTTTAGTTGAAAAATGGTATTTGTAATTTGAAATTATGTTTGGACATGCATTTCACTTGAAAATATGTTACAGTTTTGTGAGTGGGGAAAAAAAATTCTGAAAAATTTGAAAAAGTGATCAAAATCACTTTTTGATTTTTGAAAAATTTATTTTCAAAAAGTTCTGCAAGAAAGTACAATATTTCATAGACAAACATATTTTTAAGATTTTTTTTTTATGGACAAACTGGACTTTAATCTTTCGCTTTCGCACTATCACGGACTAATGTCATGTTAAGAAAAGAGAGTAGGCAAGAGGGAGTCAAGAAAGGAAAAAAAAAAAAGATTGAGATATTAGGAAAGCCACATAAGAGATGACACATTGAAGATATCCTTTTCTTTACTTTCAGGCTTCAAGAGGGTAAGTTAAAGCCACTAAGCTATCCAACCATGAACCAACTACCCCTTTTTCCCTCCTTAGCTATTTATTTATTTAAAGCATCATCCTAAAAGACCCTCTTTTTTGTTACTCCTACTACTATTCTCTTTAGGCAAAAAGGTGAGAATAAATGTGGCAAAATCAGACCCAGAAATCTTCTTCCTTTAGAGAATCCATCAAAGCCCTTGAAGCTGATATTCAACATGCCAATACTATGTAAGTCTCTTTCTTTTTGTTTCTTCTCTTCCCCTTTTTCTGTGGTTGATCACTCAAGAGTTTGATTATATAATTAAGAAATTGTCTCTTTTTTCTCTCTCTTTCTTATCTGTTATTTCTGATCAATTTTCTATTCTGCATCTTATGTGTTGGTTGAACTTGCACATCAATATGATTGTTGGATAGTTTCTTTTTGATATTGAAATTGGTGCAAATTTACTACTTACTAAAGTAGCTCAAGCCGAAATATTTCCTTTTTTAACAACCATTTCCCATTTCTATTTGTTTGATGTTTAAATTTGGATTCAGATTTATAGCCACAATTGCCACAATCTTGAAATGTTAACAAACATGAATTGAAGAATAATAATTGAACATATGATATTTTCCAAGCTTTATGAAGTAGGGCAAAGGACCTAGTTTGCCTCTTTACTATATGAAATATCTTAATTTTATCTCTCTTTTACTTTGGGTACTTCTAACATTAGCAAATCATTTTGTATTTGCGCTTGGCTTATATGGAGCTCCAGCATGTCAAAATACTTTGGAGAAAATGTCCAAATTTAAACCTCTGATATGGTTTAAAGTTACCATCGATTATACTCTATGTTGCGCGGACTCTCCAAAATATCGCCGCACCCGTGTCGGATCCTTCAAAAATGCACTACTTTTGGAGGATCTGACATGTACCTAGCGACATTTTGGGAGAGTCCGAGCAACATAGATTATACTTCATGTTGGAGTCCTTTAGCTAAGGTTAATTTGCTTTTGAGGTGGTTTAAGTTTCCTCCCACTGTTTACTTGTTTTTTTTTCTATCTTTGTTCTTGTTAAACATGCAACAATTGTTTCAAGAATAGCTGGTTATCAATTCATGAGACGGGTTTTGCAGGGCAGCAGCTCTTCCGCGGATCTCGATGGGGATTGTGTTCAGATGAAAGTTTCCTACGGCTTTCTTGCCCCCTTCTTGCTATTTCTCATAGAATGGATGGACTATAGTTGCTTAGATAATCTTGCAACTTGTTTAGGCCTCCTTCACATTCTTGTTTACAGGGTGAGTTTCCATTTTTACTTCAATGTATATTTAAATGCATGCTCATTTAATTTGGATACCAGGATCTAACATATAATATTCAGTATCACTTAATACTGTGTAATACTGAATCCAACATGAAATAACTTATACGGGAATAAAACACCTAAAAATCCAGAAACCTTGATCTCATCTTTCTACTTTTTTTACTTTAAAAGCAAGGGTAAATTTATAAACTTTCACTTAATGCAATGAAACAAAAAATATTCCTGTGATTGTTAATCCCGTCATTATGATCCCGAATGTATAACTTTGTCTGTGAACCAAATGATCCTTTAGAGTTGTCATTGTCATTTGTTTCACCTCTCAAAGGGTATATATTCTCTCAGTATTGCTTTTATACCTTATGTTTAAACTAGTCATCCTTGCAGGTCTATGTTGATGGAATTCCAACAATCTCCCCACAAGAAAGGAAAGCCACAATTAGAGAATTCTATGGTTTGCATTCTTTCCTTGTTTGGTTTATTCTCTAGACTAGATGCTATAAGGGTTGGGAGGAGACAGAAAAACAAGAGAAAGTTAGTCAAATAAAAAGTAAATTTGAGATTGTTAGAAGTTGGTTAATCAAGTTCATGATACTACTACTTTTCTCCTTTTTCAACTGCAGTTGACGATAATAAAATGATATCGGAGGGAGTGCTAGGATTTCATCTGTTTTTTTAAAATCTTGCAGCCATTATATATCCTTCACTTAAGCAGCTAGAGGGCAATCTAGTGGAATTAATGAAGGAGAATGATAAAATAACTCAACTCTCTCACACTTGGAATGGAGAAGGAGTGGAAGAGAAGAGACAGTCATGTAAAAGTATACAACGAGAAGAAGAATGCGACATATGCATGGAGACTGGCTCCAAGGTGGTTCTGCCTAATTGTGGCCATTCCATGTGTGCTGTCTGTTTCCATGACTGGTATGAAGAAAGACTCCCCTTTGCAAAACTGGTTTTGGGAATGTTAACAAGATATTGCATAACTTGAAACAAAGACGCTACATTCCATTACTATTTATCTTTCAGGTACATCCGGTCTCAATCATGCCCTTTTTGCCGAGGTAGCCTACAGAGAGTGAGCTCCGGAGACTTGTGGGTTCTAACTAGTTATTGCGATGTGGTTGATAGTACTATACTTGGGCAGGAGAACCTAAGGCGCTTCTACCTTTATATTGATAAGTTGCCACTTGCTGTGCCTGACACCAATGTGATGCTTTACGACTATATGATATAGCGTTGGAAGTGGAAGCAATGAATCATGCATACCGACCTATTACCAAATATGCTTGATCCTGAGTAGGACTTTAAATCCCATATAATACAGCGGAATAAGGGCTCTCACCCTCATTGTGTATAGTTAGCTAAATACTAGCTATCCATACTGCAACTCAGAGCTTCAGTGACAAGGTGTTTGTGGAATGACTACTCTTTGCACATGATTGCTTTGTGCAATTCCGCGATAAGTTTCTTAAATGGAGGAAAATTATGTAAAGGGTCATCTAACTCATGGCAGTAGAAAGCATAGAGATATGCCTGACATTCAACTCAGTTTTTTTTTGGGACCTGAGTGCTGAAATGGAAAGGCAAATGATTAAAGGATTTATTTACCATTGGCAAGTTCAGCTGTTGATTGTAATGCTTGTACAGTATATTACAATGAAAAATAAAGGATGTATTTACCTGTTATTCATCAAAGCCATGTGCTTTTTCCATTTATTATATCCCAATGTTCATCATGGGGAAGAAAAATCTTTAATTGCAGAAGTAGGGTATAGTGGAAAACTCATGGTTTTAACTTATTTTGTATTTAAGAAGTGGTTCATCTCCTTTTCATTTCACAATAAGGTGAGCGTTTTGCTGTAAATATCACAAAAATATACGAAAATTCTTCAAAGCTTGAAGTGTGTTAAGGATATTGTTCTTAAAGATGTCAAATATTTTTTACAAAATCAAACTCTTTACATGCCAAAAACATTTCTCACATGCCAAAAACATTTCCAAATCCACCAATTTTGCCTTCACGCCCATTTCTCACATGGACGAGCCCAATTCATTTTACACTCTCTTTACATGCCAAAAACAAAAAAATTATTCATTACAAATTGAAAAAGAGAGCTCTTTCTAATCCATGAGATACACTTCATTTTGAGATACTATTCACTACTTTTCTTAACACATTTAATTCTCAGTCTAGAGCTACAGCCTCAAGAAGTCAGGTTTATAGCCTGTTTGGCCAAACTTATAAAATCAGTTTATTTTGAGAAGTGTTTTTCTCAAAAGTACTTTTAATGCTTTTGGTTAGAAGCAATTTTTATTTGGCTAATTAATTTGAAAAGTACTTTTGAGCAGTAATTAGTGTTTGACCAAGCTTTTGAAAACTGCTTCTAAGTGTATTTTTCTCAAAAGTGCTTTTGGAGAGAAGCTACTTTTTTCTGCTTCTCAAAAACTGTTTCTGCTTCTCCTCAAAAGCACTTTTTTTCCTTCCAAAAGCTTGGCCAAACACCTCAATTTTTGACCAAAAGTGTTTTTGGCCAAAAAACGCACTTTTCACCAAAAAAAAAAAAAGTTTGGCCAAGCATAGTAACTAACGTTCTCTAATGACATCCTCAATCATTTGACAGAATCTTGTCGCAACTATGGGTTTAACTATCATAGCTATATAATTGGGTATCTATGAAGATATACATAGCAATATATGTTTTATACATCTAAAATCAATATTTTATTTAAATACACAGTGTAATTTTTCGTAATATTTCGACGAAGGGTGGTCAGCAAAAGGTGGCTTCGCCCCTGCTATGAAGATATACATAGCAACATAATTGGGTGCCTAGATCCTTAATAAGTTTCTCACCAATAGCTGCTAGCAAGATACTCAGTTACAACTTTTAGGCTACGTTTAACTTTATTCTATCGAAGTAAACTGGTTTTCTCCCAATAAACAACCAAGGTTGTAGCCTAACAATAAATAATTGGTTGAATACTATAGGAAACTACAACTCAAATTTCAACCGAGCTAAGAAATTCTTGGTGATTTTCTATTATCTGCCTAAGCTTCGGTGACAGTTACCTTATATCTCTGTTGGTCGCAGGTAAGTGATACTCAATGAAATAAGAAGTGTGTGTAAGTTGATAAAGACACTGTTATTATCAAGAAGTGTAGAATACTAGCCAAATAGTAATGCTTCTTAAGTTGGTGTTGGGCCAGCTAAAAATGATAGGGGTAAGTTGCACTTTATTGTGCTCCATTTCTTTTCTTTTCTTTTTGTTAATATAAGAGAAAACACAAAAGAACTAGTGACATTTGTCCAAGGGTCAATTACTACAAGTAGATGACTCTAGGATTTTCTTTCCCTGACATTTCTATGTTTTTGGTGAGTCAGACATTTAAAGTGGTTTAAAATTTACTTCCTTTATTTTTGTTGTTCGCTATATTAAAAATATATTTTTACTTTTATTTGTTAATTTTAGAAAATCAAGTGAAACATAATTTCCTTCCCCCCATTTTACCTTATTATTATCAAGTTATTCTTTAAATTATTTCTCAAGACTTTTTAAAATACTATTATTATTATTATTATTATTATTATTATTATTATTATTATTATTATTATTATTATTATAAGTATTATAATAATATATATATTTTATTTATTATTTTTTAGAGGGAGTGCAAAATTTATTGGGACAAGTAAAAGTGAATACAAGGAGTATTCCAACCATTGGCAAATTCTGCACAAAACTTACTGAAAAGCCTATCTCTGCAGCCCATATTTATTGGTCTGTGACATATATAGTTGGACACTTGGAGCCATTTGCCTGATTATTGCAATATCGTAAGTGTGCACTTCCCTTTAACAATACTAGCAGGCAAAGAAACCAATAAAGAAAAAGAAATCTCCTGCTTTTTCAAAATCAACCACAACAGTATATTTGTCTACTATTAGAAAAAGTGAAATGAAAGATATTATCAAAAGTATAACTATAACTGGAGATTAATGTGTAGGAAAAGTAACTACATACAAGATTTTTCTCTAAGCGAACTCAAACCTAGAAAAGCTACTACTCCTTTTTATGTGTTATTGCTCTTTCTATTTTTGACAACTGGGAATATATATTGTATAAAACTACGGAACATTGTTTGTTACATCACCAGAGATACTACATGTCCTAAGGACATTAATATTGCCTAAGTTGGCAAGCTTACATCGAACTTCAGTCCTTAGTTTTTTTAACAAAATAAACATAGCCAGCTCTATCTGTTTTCAGATTATTTATGACCTAAGGAGGCAACCTTTCTAGTAGTAGATGTTCCTTTGGAAGATTAAGAGCTTTCTTTGTCAGCTTATGGGCTACTTTGTTTCTTTCTCATGTTGGATTGATGATTGATTCAACTGGAGCCTTAACCACCTGCAAATGCAAACAATTATGTCATGAGATTCGCATCCATATTTTAAAGCTTTGATTACCTCCATTGCATCTGTTTCTATGACCAGTGGTGTAAATCCCTTGGCTTTGGCTATGTTGAGGCCTTCCTTGAGAGCTTCTAGTTCAGTTTGTAGGGATGATGAAGTTGAGCAGTGATGTTGATGACCCGCAATCCAGTGGTCGTTACTGTTCCTGAACACTCCACCTAACCCCCTAAGTATTCCTTTTCTCTAAAGGCACCATCTATATTAAGCTTGTAAAATTCTTTGTGGGGTTTGTGCCATGCAAACGTTGATTGCATGGGCTATTGCTCTTTCATACATGCTCACATACATACTATGTATATGTATATATTATATACAGTTTTCAAGTAATTTCAAAATTTATATGTATATTTTTTCTATTTTTGAATTTTACTTGTTATTTAGAACTATTAAGGCTATATCTATAGACATGATATGTTGATGTGGCAGAGTGCATATTTCCCACACTTTTCGGCGCGTTAAAACCTTTCAATTGGATATTCATTTTTATTAAAATTTATGAATAGAATTTGTAGCTTAATTCTAATATCTCATCTTAAAATTGTCATATCATACATATCCGAACCTGTTCCTTTTATTTCTCTTACTGTTCCAATAAAGTAGAATGATTAAAGTGTACTAGAAAACAATCAAAGGCCTTGAATCTTAGCTGCATTTTCATTTTTCAGTCTCTTTTAATGAATCAACAAAATTTCATTGATGTATAATGTACACTAAGATAATGTTTGATCGATAAATCAGAAATACATTTATTCAATTCAGAATTAAGAGCCTACAATTATGATACCTTCCTATGGCTAAAACTCATCATGTACACAAGAAACGGAAAAAGAAAAAATAAAAACTTTAGGACAACCCAGCACGTTTGTCGTGAGTAAAGAATTTTTTTTTTTGAAAACCCAAAAATTGAATCAACATTATGATATTCTAAAACAAAAGAAATCAAGATTGAAAATTTTAATACGTAGATTTTAAAGACTAGCAGATGAAAAATGGTAAGTAGCCGGCGCAACTTTTTGTATTGACAATTCTTTCGGAGGTGTTAGGCGTGTAAAATATTTGTATGTATGGTAAATATATAGTTTGTATTATATTAGGATAGCTTGTGTTAGTCTTACCATAATTTTAGGATTCCTTAGGGTTGAAAAACTTGTACATATATTCTCTTTGGCATTAATGGAAAAAAATAAGCTTTTCCCTTCCTCTCCAACTAACACTCGGTCTTTATTTTTGCATGGTACTAGAGCCCTTCGATTAATACACGTATGGCTGGAGATGATGATAAAGATAGCCAATGCCGGCGGGAGTAAAGCTGGCGATGGAATCAACCAAAGGAAGACGATCTCTCTATACGAAATAACATTTAATGATAATCCTGAGATATTGATAACACATGTACAACTGAAGGAAGAAAATTATGATAGGTGGGCTAGGTCCAAGAGGACTGCATTGAGGGCAAGGAATGAGTTTGATTTTATAGATGAAGCGATCAGGAGACCCGATGAACAATCTCTAGACCATCAACTTGTTATTGGTGTCTTGGATCCGTAACACAATTGTACCCGCTTTGCGTTCGATCACACCTCATTTTGAGGTGGCCTAAAACTTATGGGCGAGTATTAAAGAGTGTCTTTTCGGTCTCCAATGGCCCAAGGATACAACAATTGAAGGCTGAACTACGGATTGCAAACCGAAGGGCATGACTATAGTTAATTACTCTATGGGAAGAACTTGCGAATTTCGATCAGATTCTAACTTGTATGTGCTACAAGTGCATGTCGATTTTGGTGCTATATTGGAGAAGAAGAGGGAAGATGAGAAGGTGCATCCTTTCCTTATGGGATTGGACGAGACCATATATGGGACAGTAAGATCAAACTTGCTCGCTCAAGACCTGCTGCCGACACTAAACAGGGTTTACTCAAAGCTAGTGCAAGACAAACGAGTGAAGATGATGGCTCGAGGCATAGACAAGCATCGTAAAGCTATGACCTTCATTGAACAAACACATTTCCTTACAGAAGTCATAATGAAGGAAAGGATAAAATATGACGTGCTCTTATTGCAACCGCACAAGGCATAAACCTAAAAATTATTTCCAGCTTGTAAGTTATCTAGATTGGTGGGAAGACCGTCCTTGTCGTGATGGAAAAGCTGGTGGACATGGTAGAGGACAACAACAACATTAGAGAGGATGATTGAATAAAGGACATA